CTACAGAGTTGTTGAAAAAATAAAGTTTATGTATAATATTTTCAGTTTATATTGTTATTTTTACTGTTATGCTTCTATAAAAACTTTAGGTCAAATATTTTGTTAAGTAAGTCACTATTGCAGGATACTTAAAAAATATGCAGTATTAAAATATACAGACAACTTTTTTACGATACTTTTATACTTACATTCTGACTTTTAAGCTTAAAAAACTACTGAAAGGAATATGAACCGTATTGAGGACATTGAGGTGATCCTTTTTCTAACTAAAAAAAAAATTGAACATTGTTTTTTTTGTTTGCATATTATGTAAATTTTTACTTTTTATGATTTTTATTGGTGACCCATTGATACTATAGACTTTAACAAAACATATTTTTGATAACATTTTTATTTTGTGGTTTTTTAACAATGCCCATATTTTTATAATGTACATAGTAAATTCATTATTTCACACTAGACATGTTGATAAATTTAAGGATGCGATTTATGGCTAAATTTGTTATAGAACTTAATTTTAAGCTACGTAGATAGGTACTTTGTTATCTCATACATGTAATCTCATTTAATGACTACAGGTGGCGCTTAATATTTACGATAATCTTGAATTCTACTATTGTGAATTTAGGAAATAGTAATGCCATATGGTTAAATTAATGATGAATTTGAATAAAATTGTCAACAAAATAATACATTCTAAAATACTTGTGTCAGATGTAACGAGTTGACATAATGTATAATATCACTCAAAATTGCAGTATGAAATTAATTTGATATACGGTCCGAGCGGAATAACATATACCGCGTGAATTATATTACCACGTTAGAGTTACTTACGTTACCCAGCATTTACACGTACAAGTTACTTGCATGCAAGTTTGTATAATATTAATTGTCAATTAGTTTTTCGAAATGTCAAATTACTTGCTATTATGACGTAGGCGTTTAGCAAGTTAATTTTTGAAAATGTCTTTGAGAAGAAAACAACTAGCAATATATATAATTGTTTATAAATTTTAGAAACCATAAGTTTGCTAAGTTTAATTTTTTCAAAACAAAATTCAAAAATTTTAAATTAAAAAAAAAAAAAATCAAAACAACAAATATTTCAATGTGTTAGTAAAATTTTTGTATGTATTGCAACTTTCTTGCAAGTAACTTGTACGTGTAAATGCTGGGTTAGAACGTATACCATTGAGGTGTACTAAAAACCAAATTTAAAATAACCTTATTGATAAAATTAGTAACATTAAGTGTTTATAATTATCATATTTTTGTATGTAGGCACATACATTAGTGTAGATTTTTAAAATTTATTTCTTTACAATTTATACGCACTATTTAATTTAAATAAAACGTAATAATATATAAAAAATTCAATTTAAATTTTTTTTTATAAATTTTCTTTAAAAATTCCACGATAATTTTTAAAGCAATCTGTAGTTAACATCAAATAAAAATTCAGCATAAATCTTAAATTGAAATGACAATTGCAATAATTATCGTTATTCTTTTATTATTACTTTTTTTTTCTTGTTTACTTTCTAATATTTATTATTATTCTTTAGGGTGGAGGAGAACGATTTAATGTTATAACATAAATTTTGCACAAAAAAAAGAAAAGAGAAAAACACACTTAATACAAAAAGAGGAAGAGAACAAATAATTTGATTTCATTTTTTTTATTCTCTTTTTCATATTTTCTATTTTGGCTTGTTGTTATAATAAAAACTCCAACGAGGGGGAAAAAAGTTAAAAAGAAACAAATATATTTTATATATGTATATGTGTGTTTTATATGTGGGTAAATGTAATAGCTTTAAAGCCGATTAAATTCTTTAAAAAGTAATTCAGTATTACCACAGTATTCTTTTATCGTTTTTTACTTTTCACTTTACAACAAGGTATGTATGTACTTTGCATGTACATACATACTTTTGATAGCTTACAAACATATCTAAAAGAGGGAAAAGAGAAAAAGGAGAATATTTAATATATTTTTCTTTAAAAAAAAGTTTCTTTCAGTGAAAAGGAAAATATTTACATTTATTTCGAATTATTTTCAATGTTTTTAAGACAATGGCATTCAATGACAATTCTATATTCATAAAGGAATTCCGTTTAAGTGAAATTGAAGTTAAAGTTTACTTGATGGAATTCTGTCAATGTACGCAAACTTGTATGAATATTTATACGTTTATTTATATATAACCTACACTTGGTCTTTGATTAACGTGTTCTTGCTATTAAGCTTACATCTTTTGTATTTAATAATATGAACTTCATGTTTGTTCATAAAAAAACAAATGTGTTTATGATCACTAAAGTTTACGAAACGTTATTTATATTCATGTCTTAATTTTTTGAAACTATCAAAGAAGTAAGTTTGAAACCAAGTGTACATAAAATATTTTGAAATTTTATGTTGCATGTTCTAAACAAAATTATATATTTTCTATGTCTCTGCAAAGTACCGACATTTTGAGGTATTTACAAGTTTTTATTTAATATAATATATATGTACATATATTGCATCAATTCCTAGAAGTAGTATATACATACATATATGTATGAACATTGAAAATTTAACATTAGAATTTTATGAATTCGCAACTAATTTGTATTAATTTTTCTTTCAAAAGTTATTTGTGTTTTGTAATTTTGAAAATTGAAAATTTCTTTCATGTATTTTATTATTAAAAGTTTAGAAATTAATAGCATAGTATAATAAATTGCTAAAATATATGTATAATATGCACATATAAGTTATATAATTTGAATTTTGTTGACATATTACATTTTGTGTCAAAAATATTACGATTTTAGGTTTCTTTAACAAAAAACAAATATGATTGGCATTTATTTGATCGTAAATTGCAATTATTTAAAAAAAATATTAATAAATTTAGAAATATTTTATTATTATTTTTTATGAAATAAAAATTTAGTTTCAAAAATTACTAAAAACATCTACTACAAGGAAAACTTATTGGCAATATTCTTCTTGTTTTATTATGTGAACGCACTTTTTATATATTTTTATCCGCAGTTGCTCATGTATTCGCATTTTTGTACTACATACTTTGTATCTCTTTTTCTTACTGTCAAATAAATTATTGACACAAGAATTACAGCGAAAATTGTTTTGCCACTCAAAAGAAAAACATTCTTGTTAGAAAATAAAATAACAAGAATAGGAAGAAAAAAGTTAATAAATTAAAATGTTACATAGCTATACCTACATATTTTTATTTATATAAACATATAATTCTTGTTATAAAATGGCATCATTAATAATCCAATAAATAACGAACCAAATACAAACAAGTAAAAACGTTTCAGTCGGTATAAACCGATTGAATTATACCCTGCACCTTTCGTTATTGTGTAGCAATTACTCGAACCTGTGAGAGCATTCTATAGAAACTTCACGGACATGTCTGACCTATCATTGGACATCCGACTGCCAAGTTTCATCAATCTGACCTTATAATTTTTCAAAATATTTAAAATTAGCTTTTGGAGTTGTATGGTAAGTACCTAAACCTGTCAAGCAATTTCATCAAAACTTCACAAATATATCTGATCTATAATCGGACACACAACTGCCAAGTTTCATGAATCTGACTTTATTATTTTTCCAAATATTAAGAATAAGCTTTTAGACTTGTATGGGATCTACTCGAACCTGTTAAGCAATTCCACCACAACTTCAGAAATATGTCTGACCCATAATTGGACACATGACTGCCAAGTTTCATGAATCTAACTTTATTACTTTTCCAAATATTAAGAATAAGGTTTTAGACTTGTATGGGAGCTACTCGAACCTGTCAAGCAATCGCATGAAAACTTAAGAAATATGTCTGACCCATAATTCGACACACGACTGCCAAGTCTCATGAATTTGACTTTATTATTTTTCCAAATATTTGAAATAAGCTTTTGGGGTTGTATGGCAAGTACCCGAACCTGTCAAGCAATTCCGCTAAAACTTCACAAATATATCTGATCTATAATCGGACACACAACTGCCAAGTTTCATGAATCTAACTTTATTATTTTTCCAAATATTTAAAATTAGCTTATGGAGTTGTATGGCAGGTACCCGAACCTGTCAAGCAATTCCTCCAAAACTTCGGAAATATATCTGATCTATAATCGGACACACAACTGCCAAGTTTCATGAATCTAACTTTATTATTTTTCCAAATATTTAAAATTAGCTTATGGAGTTGTATGGCAGGTACCCGAACCTGTCAAGCAATTCCTCCAAAACTTCGGAAATATATTTGACCTATAATTGGACACATGACTGCCAAGTTTCATGAATCTGACTTTATTATTTTTCCGAATATAAAAAATTTGCTGTTGGAGTTGTATGGCAGCCACCCGAACCGGTGCAGCTATCCCATTATAATTTTTAGAGCATGTGTAGAATATAATTGGACACATGTGTACAAAATTTTATATTTATAGCTTTATTAGTTTTTGAAATATTTAAAATAAACTCTTGGAGTTGTATGGCAGCTACCCGAACCCGTTGTCCGACTTAGTCCAATAACAATAGGGTTCGTCCTTGGCACAAAAGAAAAAACTTGTGAAAGTTTGGTGTCGATTGCATTATTCGTTTTTGAGTTATCGTGCGATCGGACGGACGGACGGACGGACGGACGGACGGACGGACGGACGGACGGACGGACGGACATGTCTAAATCGACGCAGAATTTTACGCTGAGCAAGAATATATATATATGTCCATACCGCAGATGACTCCTTCAAGTAGTTACAAACTCCATACCAAAGTTAATATACCCTTCACGAAGTGCAGGGTATAAAAAGGAAAATTGTAAAAGTTAAACCAAAAATGGAATGGGAGGAAAATCACAGTTCCGAAACATAAAAATGGCAAAAAAAAACAAAAGTAAAAGAAGATTCAGGATTGATTTGTTACATTTTGTCTTTAAACATTTCAGTTTATATTTTTATATTTAATTTTATAAAATTTATCCTTTAGGGTGCAATTGAAATGTTAAAAATATATGGAAATCCGGAAGTTATACCACTTATATGTAATCAAACACAGACCCAACATCAAACGGTAAGCTACTTTAAATTTTAATTTTAAAACTTATGTGAATTCAAACCAATTTTTAGGATATTGAAAACTCTGATAATAATGGTAAATTAAAAATATTGAAGATTTTAATAATAGGTATACCTTGTATTTAAGGTCACAAGTTAAAAATTTAATTGCTAAACGTTGGATCTATTGTTTTATTTTCTTTATAAAATTTATGCACTTGCTTGCATTGAATAGAATATTTATTTTAACGAATATCACAGAAACTTCTCTTATTTGTTAAGAAAACAATACAATTTTTGCCTCTAATTAACGAGCTGAAACATATGATTGTTTTCTGAATATTTTAAATACAATTTTCAACTTTAAAATTTTTATCTCAAAAAAATTCATTTTCATAAAATATTGTAATTATACGTAAGCAAATACTTACATATATTGTTTTTACTAAAAATTAATTTATTTTAACATAAATTTCTACAAATCCTTATTATTATTTACATACTATAATTAAAAACTTAAAATTCTCCATAAATATTCATGCACATTAATTTTATTTTTATATTTATAAGAACATGAAAAATATTCACAGAGTAAATGAAAAAGTTTTTAATTTTTTTTTTGTATTTTATTAAAAATGATCTAAAATTATTTTTCAATAAATTCACACCATATACTTACTTAATAAATTATTATTATACGCTTATATAATATTATTAAAATGATAAATTATAAAAGTTTTTACTTAAAATTTCAAGTGAATTTTCTTAATATGTATGTTATATGTATGTTTTCTTTATAACTATCATTTATAACAATAAGAATCAACATCATTATCATCATTAAAAATTATCATTTTCATTATCAATTTATAAAACATTATTAACTTATTAGCGAAAAACTTAGTTATAATACGAATATTTATGTGCACTGCACTCCTATCTATATATGTAACCTACTTATTTATCTAAGTTTGTTCGTACATATAGTTTTATAATTGCATGGAAAAAGTAGTTAGGTAGTTAGGTAGGTATCTTGTATATATAAAACCGCAGTTAAAAGTTAAAAGAACTTAAAAAGAAAGAATGTTGTAATAACGAAAAATTTAAAAGTCAGAAATAAATTTTTTTAAAAATAATTTCAAGAAAGAAAATAACGTATAAAACCATAAAATAATTAAAATGAAAAAAAAAAACGTATAAATTTTCCATTAGTTGTTTTTTATTCACCGTCGTAATTTTTCCATGCAAAAAAATTTTCTTAAAATTAAATTTTATGCCGTACAAATTGCATAACATCATTTACATAGTTATATTATAATATTTCATTTTCTCTATACTGTTTCCATACATTTTTATATTGTGTACTGCATTTCCTTATGCTAGCTAAAGAATGAACATGAAATATTTTTTTAACTAACATCCCAGATAACTTTGGGAATTTTTATTTGGTTTTATATGAGAGGAATGGAACTGTTTTTCAAATTTCTTCTAAATACTTAGTTCTTTTATAATTATCTATAATTTTCATATTTTATAACCCTAGATTTTAAATTTTTGGAATTAACAAATTTTTCTCCATTAATACGATATTAGTAAATATTTTAAGGATTAGATCCAACGAATTCAATAAATTTAGCGACATCTGGAAAAGAAATGCAAATATTTGTAGATGAATGGGCTAAATTAAATTAATTTTATTAAAAATATAACGTAATCAAATTTTGAAATGAAGCCCTGTTCCGACATATCATATAGGTACGAGATTACAAACTAGAAATCAAATTATGCATACCCTTAATCCTTAATTCAAAGAAAAACTTTTTTAGCGAATAATTTGTAAGAAAAAAAATTTTTTTTTACTCTTCATTTCAAAATGTTTTATTTTCCATATATTATCATCATGTATGGAGTGAAAATATCAAAAAATAAAAATAAAAATAAACTTATATTTTTCTTTCTTTTAAGGAAAATAGTGAAAATAAAATAAGAAAATATTAAAATTGCATTTCGAATATTTTTTCCTTTTTATATATTTATGCCTGTTTATTTTCTCTACCATTCTTATTTGTTTTTCTGTTTAAATAAATTTTTGTTGAAATATTTCAACAGTTTTAAGCAATAAAAACTGTCTTATAAGCAGCGAAATATGTCATTTGGTTCTTCTCTAGGGAAAATTTTGAACATAGAAGTCTTTTGAAATAAAACGCTTACAATTTTTTTTTTTAAACTACTATAAATTAAAATACATATACAAATATTTTTGTACAAAATAGTATATAAGGAAAATTTATTTGCAAAATATATAATGAAAATGTATACCTAATATTATAGATATAGATCAAAAATACATGCATATTAAATACCAAAAATAAAATTTTTAATTTTTAAATTTCAAGAAAATTTTAGTTTTAATGTGCAAAGTACCGAAATTTAAGTCAAATTTCTATCGTTCTGTAAAAATAATACGAGAATTTTTGTAAATTCTTTAAAAATTATAAATTAACTAAATTTATAATTTTTATTTGATTGTTATTTTTTAATATAAATTCGAGTACAAATTTAATTAATTTTAAATTTTTTTTTCGTTTTAATAAAAATAAAATTTGCAATTTATTAAAAAAAAAAAATTATTTTTTATTTGCAGGTGAGTTCTGGTCTAAAAATATAAAATACAATGTTTTAAATAATAAGGGAGTGAAAGGTAAATTTTTATAAAAAGAAAAACAATATTTACATTTTAGGTTTTTATTCTCATTAAATTTAAAAAATTTTTGCGTATCTTACCAACTATTATCTTTTAGCGCATTTCCGTTTTGGAACTGAATGCATTATAATATCAGGAATGGTGTTAAAAATGTAAATTGACATCTATACGATTAAAATTCCAATCAATTATATAAGGCACAAAATTTGGCTGTAGTTACTTTGAATTTCACCTGTTAATTTTTGTAATGCAAATTATTTGTCTGGAAGACTTGGGATCTATGTGACAATTATACACAGTATCTCAAACGCTTACATCCTAGTTACAACATTTAAAATGGAAGTGGTTTTTTTTTTGTTTAATATGCCCGAAGTTGCATTTTAAAATGTTGTGTAAACACTTTGCAGTCTTGTGTTGAGGCTTGGTTCACAATAATCGAGCAATAAAATTGGATGATGATTGACTGGACATTGATTGCCGCAAAATTTTCATCTTTTTTTGAGAATTTTCGTATTAGAATACAAAATTACTCTAAAAATCTGAAAGTTATGTTTTGGAATGTTGTTTATAAAGTTTAGGACTATGAGTTAAGATTCAGGGACTAGTAAATATAGTTTTTCATAATATTTAAGTGTTACAAAATTGCAATATTTTTAAATAAATTGCATATTAAAAATTTAATAAAAAATGTTACATGTTTGCCAATTTCAACGTGCACGATGGAAATAGAAAATTGTACCTATATATGGGGACGTTCGAAACTTTAATTTTATTTGTTTTTCTTTTATTTTTTGTTGAACTATAGAATTCGCTTTCTTACAAAGAAAAATGCTTTTAAAATAATTTTCATTTCATTTTTATTGTTATTTGTTTCACATCCTTAGCGAATTGTTTACTGCATTAAAGTGGAAAAGTTTTTCTTACCCTACTTTTTAATTTTATTTTTTTCACTTTTTAAATTATTTTATTCTACTTTTTTTTTCAAACATGTTTTTCTCATTTTCCTCTATAATAAACACATTCTATTAACAAACTTAGAAACTCATCTTTGGTGTACTTGAATTTTTCCAAATGAAAAAAAAAAACTAAAAATTTTTCTTCTATACTCTCTAAAATCATACCTCATTCCTCATCTCGTCCATATGAATACAGTATCCTTTATCTTTAATAGTGTCACAATAGTTTTATTTGTTTAAAAAAAAAATAAATGTAATATGGAACAAAATAAGAAAAAATTTTGAAAACTATTTCACATTTTTCAAGCTAAACTTGATTCTAAAACAAAAAATAAAAATGGAAAAAAATTAAACACAAAAAAAAAAACAAAATTGTTTTGAAGACAACAACAGCCGAGTAGTAGTATGTAGATCTGTAAAAGTAGGTAACAAATGTTATGTTACATTGGAACAAATAATTATTATAAACCCAAGGTGATGTTGGAAGAAACTAGGCGCTAAATTTTTATATAAAAACGAATTGCAATGAATAACAACAACAAAACTGTAATAAGAAAACAACCTTGAAAGTGAACGTAATACGGAAAATTTTCACAATTTTTTTCACAATTGATAACCATTTTGTTATGAAGAAGAAGAAGCAAAAGAAGAAGTAGAAGAATAAATGAATGAATGAATGCAAAAAAAAACATGTTAAACTCGCGAAGGATTTCCAATTTTTTTATTATTTATATTATACATATGAGTACACCTATGAGTATCCTTGTACTTTTTGAAGTAATTTTATTTTTTTTGGGTTATATGGTTTTTAAAGTGGAAAAAGTAAATGTATTTCCAATGTTGAGAGGATTTTCAATTCACTATTCAAAAGTTAATGCAACATTATAAAATTTTTGTATATAAGTATGATATGCGCGTAGTATACCTGTAGAAGCATAAATGCACATTCAAATATGGGTAATAATTGAATGGAAGAAGTAGTAAAAACTAAAAAATATATAAAATTTATTGTATGGGGAAATAAAAAATAAATTTTTATTTTAAATAAATTTCAATTTAACTTTTCCAAAGTGTTGCATCTCTTCCAACTCAGAATACGTTTTTTTTTTTTTCATTTGTGAATTTCTTTTTTCAAAGGAAATATTATTAAAGTTGAAAATTTCAGGTAATCCTAGGTATTAACTATAGGTACAGAAAACTAAATTGTGATAAATTTGATAAGTTTGAAAATAAATTCTGTAAAAGTTATTTGGGTTCTTTTTTGGTATTTACCTTTAATGTGTAAAATAGTTTGCATTCTGGATTTTCTAATAAATTTTTCCAAATATTTATGGCGTATGTATAGTTGAAATTAAA